TTTTTTTTTTTTTTTTTTGGTACCAGGGATCGAACGTGGGACCTTTTGCTTGCGAGGCAGGCAGCAGCATCACTGCGCTAAATCCCCAGCCCAAGGAAAAGATTTTTAATTGTAATTTCTTTCACATATTAATGTGGAAAGAAATATAATCTGTAGCTTGGGGTTCTCCTATACCCCTCCCTCCAGAAGGGTGAAATTACTCATTTTGCTGAGCTTTTTAGGGCATTGTCCTAGAAAATCAGGCCTCTTGTACCTATTCTCTCTGAGAAGGTTTTATTTCTTTGCCCTTTAACTTCTCTCCTGATATCTCACTATAATCCTCTCCTAGTCACATATATGTTCTCATTGATATACTTTCAAGAGTTACAGATCCTACTTGCTTACCATGTAGCCAAACAGTACATTAGTGTACAGTCTTACTGGTTTCTTTAAACTCTCTTATGGTCCCTGAATCATTTTAGTGGTAGTGGCAAATTTAAAGTCTCCATCTTACGCTAGGTCACTGCTGCTTAAATCTGGGTGAAGCAGGCTAGATAGAGCCTGATGGAAATCTCTTATGGGCCCATTGCTGCCAGGAGTGTTGGTGTACGTCTGTAATTCCAACTACTTTTGGAAGGTTGAAGCAGAAGGATTAAGTGTTTGAGATCAAACTCGTCTCAGTGAAAATTAAAAAGGGCTGGAGATGTAGCTCAGTACTTGCCTACCATGCAGTCAGTCCCCAATAAAACATACACACACACACACACACACACACACACACACACACACACACACACAACTCACTGTTGGTCCAAGGTTCAGAAGCCCTCTGTCTACAATCCTGGCCAAGCCAGAGAAACTGACGTTAAACCTATATGCCCTAGGCCATAGATAGTTTTCTCTGGAAGTACATTATTGAAATGGATTTTTTCACTTGTCCTTTTTCTTCATCCAATTTCTTATTATACGTATAGTGGAACTATCTGTTTCTTCTACTTGTATTAGGCAATACTTTTAATCTTAGAATTGATCTAAGAGGGAGAAGGCTGAATCACTATTGAACTCCAGTGGTCATAAGAGATTACTAAGTTTCTGCAATTTTGAAAATACCGCTACATAATATTTTTATTTTCTTATCCCTGCTGCTCATATCATCATATTTAATGTCTTCATCTGAGACCTTTTTATGCAACTAAAACTTGGCAGAATCCAGCTGCTATTTGTACATACCCCATATATGGATTTCTTCTTAGCATTAGAGGAAAAAACTGAAATTTGGCAACAAATCTTGATAGCTTGAGTAAACCATTGTCCCCATACACTTATCAAACCTCTCATAGTTCTTTCCAGATAACTTTGTTCTTTATTTTCTACAGGCTGATACATTAAAAGAGAGATATCAAAAAATTGGGGACACCAAAAGGAATACTCCCATTGAAACTCTCTGTGAGAACTTTCCAGGTAGGATGCCAAAAGGATATTTCAACCACAGTGACTAAAACTTTGAAGCAGGTAGAATCCATGACTGGTATCTCTAGATAAAGTGCTTGCCAGATAATTTACATTTCCTTTTACTGTTACTCAAACCAGCATAGGTTTATCACTTCTTTGGTCCACGAAGAACACACTAGTATCAGGTGCTCTGTACAGACAGCTTACCCCACAGGAAGCATTCAGCTAACAAGCATGGCCTTTCACCTCTTTCCTAACAGAGGAGATGGCAACCTACCTTCGGTATGTCAGGCGATTAGACTTCTTTGAGAAACCTGATTATGAATATTTACGGACCCTCTTCACTGACCTCTTTAAAAAGAAAGGCTACACCTTTGACTATGCCTATGATTGGGTCGGGAGGCCCATTGTAAGTATTCTCTTTTTTACCACCACATCTTTCTCAGACCAGCACTACCCTGCCCTTTACGTCTTAATCTTGCTGCTCAAATCTTTGGGGATAAATTCATTTGATTGCAGAGTTCACATTTATCAGCCTTTCCAGGTAATGCCATAGACTGTTTTCACTGGAGTTAGGAAGTAGGAGTTACACATTTTTAAGATTATAACTGGTATATCCTTAGGTACTATACAACAATTTAAACTCGTTTTTTAGAAGTTTCATTGGAATGATTCATAATTTAATGCTACATATGCTGTTAAGGTACTTGACTGTTATAGGAGTAGAACCCAGTAAAATAGGAAAACTGAATTTTCAGTTTTGACCCAAGGTCCACAAGTCTAGGAAGTATTCTAGTAGATATTGCTGCAGAATTCTTTTTTTTTTTTTTTTTTTTTTTTTTTTTTTTTTTTTTCACTTTTGAAGATGTTACTCTCTGGTGAACTATCAAGAACCAGATTGCCTGCCAGGGATTTAGCTCAGTGGTTTTGCCGCTTGCCCTGCAAGCACAAGGGCCCAGGTTTAATCCCCGTACCAAAAAAAAAAAAGAACCAGATTGCCTGCCTCCCTTTTGCAGATGGGCAAAGTCAGAGAAGACAAAACTGCACTTGATAGCCAAAAAGAATTCCTACTACTTTCTGAGAGTTAGCATGGTGCTATCCTGTGCAGAGGTACCAAGTTACACTCATTTCTTCATTTGACTTTAATTCATTTTTCTAGCCTACTCCAGTAGGGTCAGTTCATGTAGATTCGGGTGCGTCTGCAATAACTCGAGAAAGCCACACACACAGGGATCGGCCATCACAACAGCCTCTTCGAAATCAGGTACGTTTTGGTTCTTCATTGTTTCAGACATTTTTGTTCTTCATAGCTAATGGTAAACCCAAATTATCCAGTTTGTTTGGGTTACTGGATGTACTGAAGTTTAAGGAACAGGCTAGTCATTTCTCACTGGCTAAGTGTGATATTCTAGCAATCATAAGGTAATGTGTAATTGCCTGGAGTTAGAGAATCTGGGCCTGTAAGTGTGTTCTCTGAAAGGGTGGAACTGACTATGAGATAGGATCCGAGGCCAGAGCTGCCCTAGGATGGGTGGATGTGTGAAGTATAGCAGCTGACCCACTTTGGGTCTCATTCGTAGTCCATTCTGGAGTTCCTGTCAATTCTTGACTATTACTTGCTCCTTGAAAAGGGTAGGTAATTTGAATTTCCAGCTGACCCTGGGTGTGAACAGGAACCTCCACATGAACCATTGTCATTGTAACTAGCTTAATTCGAGAGCTGGCCAAGATACAAGTGGACTTGCAGTAAGACTATTTTGTCATTTGTCCAGTGTTCATTGTTTGGGAACCTAGTGGTCTACATGAGACACATCTCTCAGCCTAACAACACTGGAGACAAACATGAAAAAAAGAAAAAATAAAATTTGACATTTCAAATAAAAGGGCTAGGCCTGGGGTTGTAGCTCAGTGGCAGAGCTCTTGAGGCTCTGGGTTTCCCCAGCATGGGGCGGGAGTGGGGGTGGAGATGTACTAATTGGGATGTAATTGATGACAGATCTTTATCTGTATGTATCATCTGTATTGCTAAGAGAAAAATGAAGACCCAGTAGATAAGTAGGCAAAAGATAATAAACAGATTATATATGCCTCTATAATCACTATCATATATCAAATTAGCTTATTCCTCTTTTTCCTGACTTTATTTTTTATATTAACTATATATATATATATATATATGTATGTATTTCAATTCTTATAAAATATAAAAGCATACCTATCTCACCAATGCACATGCACAGGCATATAGATTAAGAATACAGTAGTATATAGGTTGGGTGTGGTGGCTTGCACCTGTAAACCCAGCACTCAGAAAGCAGAGGTATGAGGATTCCTGCCAATTCAAGGCCAGCCTGTACCACTATTAAGAACCTGCCTCAGCCAGGCATGGTGGCGCACGCCTGTAATCCGAGCACTCGGGAGGCTGAGGTAGGAGGATCGCTGTGAGTTCAAGACCAGCTTGGGCTACACAGTGAGTTCCAGGTCAGTCTCAACTACATAGTGAGACCCTGTCTCAAAAACAAAACAAAGAACCTGCCTCAAAGAAAGAAAAAAGGGCTGGGGATTTAGCTCAGTGGTACTGCACCTGCCTCATAAGTAAAGACCCAAGTTCAGTCCCTGGTACCGCAAAAAAAAAACAAAAACAAGAGCATACAGAAGTATCCACACATACATATATACAGTGAAGTACATCCATAGGTACAGCTCACTTGCCATTAAGTATATACTCTTGCCAAAATGTGGCTTGGTGAGCAAAAATTGTGTAAAGGGAGGAAAGTTGTATGTCAGAGAATCTGTCCATCTGTCTCAAGGGGCTGGGCTTCAACTCAGTGGTGGAGCACTTCCCTAGCATGCCCGAGGTTTGGTCACTACCACCCCCAAAAATGTATTTGTCTGAGACTTAGACTGACTTTCTGATTTGACAGTAAAAGATAACAATCTAGTGGCTGGGGATTTAGCAGAAGGTCCAGAGTTCGAATACCACCTCCCCGTACCGAAAACAAACAAACAAACAAACAAAGAACAGTAGTATAGGGCTAGGGATGTAGCTCAGTGACACTTTGCCTGCCTGGCAAGTGCAAGGTCCTGAGTTCGATCCCTGGTACCAATGGAAAAAAAAAAAAAGAATACAGTAGTATTATATAGGCTGGTTGTGGTAGCCCCTTCCTGTAATCCCAGCACTCAGAAAGCAGAGGTGGAAGGATTGCTGCAAATTCGAGACCAGCCTGGACTACATAGGGAGCCCTTGTCTCAAAAAACAAGAAGAAACATTCTAAAATATAGATTAAGTGCTTAAAACTGTTACAGCGTTGGAACAAAGGTTTAGCAGTGACCCATCTATTCCTTTACAATGGTTGGCTATGGATTCACCTCACTTGCTTTACTGAATAAACTGAGTTACACTAAAGTGAATTGTAAAACATTTAGTCAGAAGAGTATTATGTAGCCCCTAAAAATAATATTTAGGAAAATTTGTAGCAACTTGAAAATATTTTATGATTTGAATAGTGAAGAAATAAAAATACAAAATAAGTTTGGAAGTGGTAGTGAGTAATATTTTTCCAAAATATTCTATAATAAAGTTTCATTACTTTATTATAAAAATATAGTTGCAAATAAAATGCATGGAAAGGTTTACTAAGCAGAATTTAGAAAATATAGTAAAGAGAAAGGAGTGTGGGTCTTCATGAGAGAGACGACCCATTATGGTCAGGGTGCATTAGGCTTAGGGGTTTTATGTGGTCTTGGGGGTATCCTCAAGGTGGGTAATCTAGGTAGGATGTGTTTCAAGTTTAGAGAGAAGCTGCCCACTTAATTCTTTTGCGTCCTTAAAAATGGTCTGTGGAAAGAAAAGCACAGCCTCAATATACGGGTTTATAGGCCTTCAAAGTACAGAATTTTGTATCTTTAATACCCTTAGGGCAAGGTGTGGTGGTGAATGCCTGAAATCTAAGCTCCTGGGCAGTTGAGACAGATAATTCTCCCTGAGTTCCAGGCCAGACTGGGCTACATAGTGAGTTCAAGGCCAGCCCACACTACATAGAGAGCATCTTGTCTCAAAAACCAAAAAAGGAGATGCATATATTGTTACTAGAAATAGGAAAGTTAGGAAGGAACTTGACTGGAGTTTGAATTTAGACATCTTGGGTTTGAAATACTCTCAGTGTGTAGTTTTGTTTAGTTTTGAGGGAGATTTTTGTTTTGTTTTAGTTTTTTTACGTTAACCTTCTCTTTTTTTGGTACTGAAGAACAAACTCGTGTCCTTGTGTTTGTGAGGTAGGCGGCAGAACCACTGAACTAAATCCCCGGCCGTAGTTTTTTGTTTTTTGAGACAGGGTCTCAGTATGTAGTTCAGGCTAGCCTTGAACTTGCTATGGAGCCCAGGCTGGCCTCAGACTTGTAACAATCCTCCTTCCTCAGCCTCCCAAGTGCTAGGATTATAAGCATGTGCCACCATGCCCAGCACTCTCGGTGTTACTGTATCTGAAGAGGCAAGCAGAGGATCCTGTCACAGGAAAACCAGAAAGATGCTAAGGAGTTAAGGCACAGAACTGATGTTGTTAATGCCTGAAGAGCCTCCTTGTCCTAAGAGTATCTCCCAGGAAGAAGAGATAGAAGAGGAGCTTGCCTGGTTTTAGATAATACCAAAATTTTGGCCATAGGACATGTAACTAATCTGGGACCTCTGCTTTCTCATATTTAAACCTTGTAAGAGCAGATATTTTTGTTTTGCTCACTGCTTTTTAACCTTAAAATGCAACTCAGAGTCTGGACCAGGCCCTTGATAAATAATTGTTTGAATGAATGAATGAACAAATGACTATCCCATTAAAGGTGTTGATGAATCAGATGTGTTTATGATATAGATTTATTTAATATTCCATGGAAAGTAAATTTTCAACTTGTGTTCTTGTTCTCCATTTCCACCAAGAGCCATTGTGCCTGTATTTGGCATTCATAGTAGAATTGGATTTTCTGCTCAAGGTGGGGGATGTAAACAATTTCAGCGGTCATCAGGTAGGCATGAACCCCAGCTACTTGGGAGGCTAAAGTAGGAGGAACAGAAGTTCTAGGCCAGCCTGGGCAAATTAGTAAGATTCTGTCTCCGAATTTAAAAAGAGATGAGGATGTAGCTCAGTAGTAGAGTGCTTGCCAGCATGTGTGAGGCACTGGTTCAATACCCAGTACTACAAAAAAACTCAAGCCTACCTCAGAGCCAAGTGCAAGTCTGTGATCTCAGCACCATGGAAAGTTGAGGTAAGAGGATAGCAAGTTTAAGCTCAGCCTAGGCAATTTAGTGATTTAGCAAGACACTGTCTCAGTGTTTAAAAAGGGATGGGGGTGTAGGTCAGTGGAAAGGCACTGGGTACTGAAAACATTTTTTAAAATAATAATTTAAAAATGCTACATGCTTAAGAATAATTTCTTTGAATATTAATTTTGCCTCAACTAGACAGATACAATTAAATCACGAGTTTGGGATTGGGGATTTAACTCAGTGGTTCTGGTGCCTGCTTTGCAAATGCAAGGACCCGAGTTCGATCCCTGGTACCAGAAAACAAAACGAAACAGAAAACAAAAAAACAACGTATCATGAGTTTGGCCAGGCTTGGTGACGCACGCCTATAATCCCATTGCTCAGGAGGCTGAGGCAGGAGGATCACTGTGAGTTCGAGACCAGCCTGGGCTACATAGTGAGTTCCAGGTTTGTCTCAACTCAAAAAACAAAACAAAAAAATAATGAGTTTGGATAAATAAATATGTCTAAAAGCTGCATCCTTCAGAAAGATCCCAATTAGGTGGGTCTTTCCTGTCATTTTAACCCCTGATATTTGTCCTTTCCTGGTTCCAAAGATAATAAATCTGGCCATGGTTTTCATTTAAAAAACAAAACAAAAGCCTGCAGAAGGACACAAAAACTTTAATAGCTCTACCTGGCAAAATTTACCTTGCATTCTGTGATCAGATCAATAAGGAAGTAAGTCCTGCTGCTATGCACAGATGTGATATTAGAAGACATCATATTGTACTGTCAGAGGTTTTACTCGAAGTGCTTACTCAACACTCTACACACTGAGTACTGCACTGACTAGGATGTGCAGACATTAACAGTCTTGCTGCTTATTCAGAGCTTGACATCCAAGATCGTCACAGTCCTCACTCATATAAATGCTACATAGACATAAACTACCATGGTTCAGCACTTTGATCATTTCTTTTTTTCTCCCATTAACCCTTTTGTATTTGGTGTATTTTCTTTGGGTG